CCAGTTAAACTTGGGTTTTAGTTCGAGAGCAGCTAGCAACTCTTTCCTCACAGGAAAAATTGGAGAGGTGGAAATGTGAGTTTGCCATGTACCTTTAACAGGATACTACTTTTAACTACAAGACGCCCTACTACCCAGTTGTCCACCTATGATCAGAAGTCTTTTACACTTGTTTACACTAGTGGACACCCTTGTGACTTTTGTGTCCAGTTTTTACCTGTCTCACCATGGTCCTGCCTCTAGGAGTTCAACATCTGTCCTCCCCATATCTCTGGTACAACCAGGCCTGGGTTTTCAGATGGAAAGCACAAATCTAATATAGCACCACAATAGGAAACAAGTTCTCAGATTTATTACTTATAGCTCCTAGGCAAAGAGGGAGAAATAAGTGTGAAGGGCAGTCCTGTTTCTGTCACAGAATAAAGAGTCAGGCAGGAAGGAGGGGATTGAAGGGGAGAGAGAGAGAGAGAAGAGGAGAGGAGAGGAGAGGAGAGGGAGAGGGAGAGAGGGAGAGAGGGAGGAAGGGAGAAGCAACTAACAATATACTTTAAGAGAAGAGGGTGTGGATGAGTCATTTCCCGGTGAATGAAAATGTGCCTAACATATTATAATAAAAAGCCCTGTTTTTCTTGAGTTTAGGAAAGGTTCAAACAGAGTCCTCAAATGGGCAACCTATTGCTGTGACTGTTTTGAGTTACCTGCTGATGGTGTTCATGATTTGGAAATTTTTAGTAGATGTATTGAAATTACAACAAAACCACTAATGGAATGTGTATAAACAGATTATGGCAATGAAATCACTGTCATCGTTTTGCCTCCAAAACAAGAAATGTGAGAGAAAAGTTTAAATTCATAAAATGTTGTCAAATAAAAATATGAAAAGTCTTATACAAAAAAATCTAATCGTTTTGTGTGGAAGAGGAGAAAGTTGAATAAAGAAAACAGCCACCTGGTCAGCGGTTCTCATTCTGACCAGAAAGTTTGCCAAAGGTCATAGGTAGGTCCACTGGAGGCAGAACTAAGTCACATTGACACAGAACACAAATCCTGCATTTGTTTATTACACCTTGAATACACGTTTGGACCCTGAAAAATGAGTTTCCTAATTTATTCATAACAGTATTTGAAACTGAAGTTTTAGGTACCATGTCCAAACTGCTGGAATTCCACTTGCCCCTCTATGCTAAACAGACAGTAATGGTGAAGGCAGAGAAAGATTTATTTCACAGCCTTGGAACACTGTGGAAAGATGCAAAGTAAGTACTCAGCTCATCTTCAGTCATCTTGTGGGTACAGACATGAGCTTTAGATTTAAATAGACAAATAATTTGGGGCAGAGGGAGAAAGGTTTGTATAATTAAACAGTCTTAGTCAAAGTATGGCCTGATTATTATCTCAGTCTGGAGGGTTCCAGAGAAGTTGTTGCTGCCATCAGTTGATGGGAACAACATGGCTTCCATTGGACGATCACTCCTGCTCCAGGTGAGGCCTCATCATTATATGTAGCAGTCCTTATATTTTTAGAAGAGGGGCTTGTCCTGCAAGGCTCTGCTATTCCTTAGGGTTAGTTTCAGATCCTCATCATGAAGATGTTAATCATTCCTGTCCTTCCTGGAACTCCAGGTGATTGCAGTGACTGCAGAGAGAATGGCTTAGTGCAAAGAAAAATACAAAATGGGACTGAGGTGCAAAGCTTTTCTCCTGTGTTTAGTTAATGCAAGGGCCCAAGTAAGGAGTCAGTGCTTTTCAGCAAAAGCAGCTTAAGTACCTGCTACAGATTGAGAATTGGTTTATTTTATTCCTGAATGAAAATGGAGCCATATTTTTAAAAGAATAGTAGTATAAGCTGAAGTATGTTTAAAATGTTTCCAGCAGGTTTCTCTGCCCGCCATTCTTCTTAAAACTAGAGAAAATTTACTTCTGTAAAATAACATTTTCATTTAACTCTCTCCTTCTTTCCCCCCAGATTAAGGAATGATGAGCTAATTCAGTAGATGAAATTTTGAAGCGCCTAAGTGTGCAAACAAATAGGAATTGTTACTATCAAGTACTTAAGGTTATTATAAAGGGTACAGAATTTTTATGTGAGCAGTTAATGGGAACCACCCTTCTGACATGTGAGATTAAATGATTGTTTTTTCCAACTACCGAATAAGATGTTCTAGTTATTTCTACATCCCTGAATTACATGTGGGTTTCAATTAATCTTTGCTATACATTACGCACTAGGGTTGGAGGTATGGCTCAAGTGGCAGAGCATCTGCTTAGCAAGCACATGGCACTGAGTTTAAGCCCTACTACCAAATACGTTAAAAAAAACCCCACAGAAACAAATGTACAGAGACAATGAGTCTGCTTTTTATCATTATGCAGCCTCATATTATTTTATCATAATAAAAATGTTATTATCTAAGATTGTCAGCCCCCCTCTTTTTTTACATTGGCTACTGAGCAAGCTCAATAATCAAAGGGCGAGTTCAGGTCACAAGTATCAAAGTCTGGGTCCAGTCAGATCATTTTATGCAATCACTCAAAAAAGCTTTGCTAATATTGTTGGGTCCTTATTTAGTCATGCTATTTTGCCAAAAGAATGTAAGGCTGAGGTTGGTACTCAATCTATTGTTATTTCATAATGCATCTCCATAGCCACTTGACAGAAAAGTACTCTGACCAAATGATACCTAAGGATTACACATACACATCATAAGCTCAACTTTCCTTCACACTTCCTCCACCCAGCTTTTTTATTATTGTGTTTATTATTTTCTGAACTTATTATAGTATTTTATAGTGAAATATAATGCTTTCCTTTTGCTCTTTCCATGCATGTGTAAATTGTATGAAGGTTAAGGACTTATTGTCTCATCTGCAGTATCCATTACTATGCCTGACATGTAATAGGTGTTCACTAAATATGCATTGGTGCCATATAAGTTTTCAACAAGGTCTATCTACTGTAGAACAACTTACTTATAGCAGCTTTTAGAAATCTGGTCCTTAGTAACCTCTTTTAACAGTATGTCAAAATTCTGTAGTATTATTATCTAGGAATGCTACTTCTGTTCTCAAGACACAGAAGGCAAATGTGGAGCAAGTTCCAAGGATCAACATTAAGAGTATATAGCCTGTTTCAATTCTTTCTAGTCTTCTAGTGTGATTTAACTATTTTTAAATCTCGTTAATGCACTCCCCCACACATACACACACTGTAGATAGGAAAGCTCCCTGTCCTCCACCCCCACTTTCTGGTCCCAAATGACTTACAGATGCAGACATGACTAACTAGATGTTGACAGGTCACTTTAAGCATTGGCTCAGCAGTGCTTGCCTACCCTCTCAACTATGGAAAAATCAGTGGAGAACTTTTAAGTTGCATGACAGATGCAATTACAAACACAGTAACAGAAAATCTGTTCTCTGTGTTGTGTGGCCTCCCCTTACCTCTGTCCCTCAGTTTTCATAGCCATTACACCTCCACAGCTCACACTGCACTACCAGAAAGGAGTCTGGCTTCACTTCTCCCCCCGATGGGAGGTGAGGGGTCTAACTACATTTAAGTCAACTTAGGGAGACGTTAGTAAATCAGAATTTTCTTCTAACTGGGTTTTTTGAGCAGAAGAAAGTTATTTTTGAATCCTAAGCACTTTGCTATTTAAACTATAAAGATACATTAGTATGGTCATGGCTTCTCTTTTCTCCTAAGGGAGAAAAACTACCTCAGAAGAAAATTCTTTGTATGCACAGGCTGAACTCTGGTTCATCTTATTCCAAATATCTACCATTAGACCAATACAAACTGAACTACAATCACATACAAAGGTATTCATCATGAATACATTAATTTGTAAAAACAAGAGTATACTCTGAGTTAGGCTACATGCTGGAAAAACTTAGATTCTGTAATGATTTGTGCCATAAGTAATGTGTAACTATAGGCAGTCACCAAATCTTGTGACTTCTTCTAGAGCAGTGGTTTTCAACTGGAGTCAATTTTGTTAGTTATGGCACTCTACATACAGTTTTGGTCATTACAACTGGGAATGGTGAAGAATGTGCTACTGGTATCTGGTGGGTAACAGCCAGGGATACTGGCAAAACATCTTTCAATGCACAGGGAAGTCTTCTACAACAAAGAATTATCTAGGCAAAAATGTAAATAGTGCTGAGTTCCAGAACCCTTGCTGTCTACTGACAGAATTCAAAGGCATGAAAAGTCAGCGTGGTGTCTGGGAGCTTTGGCTTAAGGAAGTCCAGCTAATTTTCTATGGGTGCATCTTGGACATAACACCAAGAACGTCAGTGTTTCAAACTGTGCTTAATAAAGTGACGCTGCAGGATCAAACACATGGTTTCATTCCTATGTCCAATTCCACTCTAATTCTTAATTATACTGCTCCGCTGGTAGCCTAAGTATTTTAGTTGAACTATAAGGAAGAAGAACTCATGGTTGGCTCACCAAATCATAATGCCCAGTGACCCTTGTGTTAGGGAGACAGAAAACTCAGGTCTTTTGTGGAAACAGGTATTATTAATTAGGTGGTCAGCAGGCTAGAACTGATGTTAATAGTCTTGATCAGTAGCAGGACAGTTGCAAATCCAGAGATTGCTGTGAATGTGGAGTAGGAAGGGAGGATGTCAGAGACATCACTGTGGTCTCAGGCAGAGGAGGTACATCCACCTGCCTCTAGTCCCAGCTTTCAGGCCAACTGTATGAGTCTAGGCAAATCTCAAATCTTCTCTTTAAAATTAGGGACTGGCCTGTGCTCTGTAGGATTTGTCCAGCTCTGTCATTCTTATTCGATGTTTTCCCTACTATCTGCTCTGGTAAACAAGGATAAAGATGACTCTGTACCAGAATGCCAGTAAAGTATATTTATTAATTTGCAATAGCATGTGGTAAAGAAAATAAAGGACAAAAGGGACACATGCAAGTTTCCACGTGCAGAAAAACCTTTAATTGGATAATCACTCATTCAATAAGCATCTACTGAACAGCTCCTCTAAATAAGGTACAAAAAACTCTTACATTTTCAAAAAATTTCTTTAAACAAACCTGAGATATTCTTTAAAAGTTTATTTCCTAGGATTTACAGTAGTTCACACTCAGTTCCAGTGAAGTTCCTCACTGTACTCCACAGGACAGATGGGTCTCCATTAGCTAGTGTCTTCCCAGGTGGTGCTGATACAGCACACATTTGAATATTCCTCTGTGGGAGGCAGAGGTGTAACTTCTGTACTTAACCTGCTGACAACTGCCACTATGACTTTCTTCATAGCCCTGGATTTTTAGATCTTCTCTTAGAGAATATATCCAAACAAGGAAAATCAAATCGTCAGAGACGTGCTCCCTTTCTGTAGCTCTGGTTCTCGTCTTTGTAACCAATGTCCACAGAGCAGACTTCCGGTCTTTGGAGTGGTCTGTGATGAAGAGCTGACTGCTGGTGGATGAGAATGCCTTAGCTTCCACAGTCACATCTTCAGAAAGGCCACCTGGAAGAGGAAGAAAAGCCCACAATATTTTGCTGACATAATATGATGCACAGCAAATCAGAATCGGGCAAGTCTGGCCAATGAGAACATATGCTGATCTCGAAAGAAAAAGGACTCTGTGGAGACAGACATTATACTTTAGAGCAAGAACCTATTAGTCTTTTGCTAATGAGCCATACAGTAATTAAAATGATTCACATGCACTTTAAAGGAAAAAAACTGTTTTTAATTGACCCTAAAATTATATTGCCATGAAGTAATATGGAAGTTCTCTTTCCCATTGGTTCAAACTACTGTTTTGGACACTCTGTAAGCAGAATTGAGTCTCAGAGATTACTAGGGAACTTGAGGTCCTCATCACTGCTGGTAATTATACCACTCTCTCCTCACGTCACGTTCATACTTTTAATCACATGCAATTACATTTACTATATCTGTCAGGAACAATTCATTTTAAAACTTAGTGTTTAAAAGAAACTGTAATTCAGGCAGACCTAAATGCAAAATTCTTCAGACTATTAATGAGGCCCAAACCAAATGCACCTAATTTCCCAATAGCAGAGAAACAAACATTGATAATCAGACATAAATACATAGAAAGTATTAGTTCAGAGGTGACAGTAAGTTTGGAACTGTGCTAATATCAGGTAGAGAGCCAAATGTAGAGATAATGATGGGTGAGTGTGGGAGGCTGGGCAAGCTGTGCTACATCACTTTTTTTTTTTGGTTGCGGGGAGGGTAGGAAACAGAAGTGAAAATATTCCACTCTTGGAACAATATGGGACACCTATCAACAACATCAGGAAAGTTGTTTCCTAAGTCTCCAAATGCAGTAAAGAAGGGGGGATGTGTTTAATGATCCCTGTTAAGGGGAAAGGAAAAAGGAAGAGTCGTGCAGGGCAGAAGGCATCTGCTTTATGTTGAGTAATTCAGAAGGGTGTTAGTCTTCATACAGTGCTGGTAATAAAGGCACCTGCTGAGTTTCCATATCAACTTCCTGCTGAGTTTCTCTATCAAGTTTTACAATGAGAGCACTGAAGTTGAAGGGACAGGCAGAGAAGAAAGGTTAAGATTCCTAAATGAAATGTAAACACAGACAATTGATACAAATTTCAAGGGTTTATTGTGAAGCTCAAATTAGATGATGGTTACAAAAATCCATGTGTTTCTTTCCTGTATTTCTCAGGTGACACTGACATTGGAAGTCTACCAATATACCAGATGGGAAGGGGCTGCTTGAGAGAGACCTTGATGTGTCCCATTAGGGAATGATTATAGAATCACATGAGAAGGGAGGTCCTTGAGTCTGATATTGGGCCCATTTATATCATCATTGGCAGGTGATACTCTCTGCTTCCATACAAACAGTTTACAGGGACAGGAAACTTACCACCTTGGAAAGAAGGCAATGCCACTGCTTATATTCAGAAAAGAGAGATGAATAATAAAACTTCTGCAAAGTACTATGGGCATGGAGTGTAACCAATAGGAACTACTAAGCATGATGATAAAACTAATAAACATCATCATGAAAGTGATTAAGAAGTTTAGCCACAGACAGACCAGCAATTCTCAACTTGGGGCAGTTTTGTCCACCAGGGAACACTTACCAGTATCTAGAGACGTTCTTGGTTGTCAACACCTAAGAGGAAATATCTATTGGCATCTAGTGGGCAGAGGCAGAGACATTCCTAAATATCCTAAAACATACAGAACAGCTCCCAAACAAAGGAGTATCAGCCCCAATGTCACTAGTGCCAATGCTGAGAAACAGTACAATTACAGATGCAGTTTTTTGGGGAACAACTCTCATCTACTAGTTGTATGACGTTTAACAGACCTTCCTCCTCTGCAATATGAGAATTATAACCTACCTGAAACTTGTAAAACATTTTACAGTTTACTAAGCTCATTTTGACTCCTTTCATCCTTAGAATAGCCCCAGGATTTAGGCAAAGTAGCATTTGAAATATCAGTTTATAAAGTAAGAAACAAGCTCAGAAAAATTAAGAGACTTGCTCAGGTTACACAGCCTGTTAAGTGGCATGGTAGATTCAGGAAAAAAAACTGATTTGGAATCCAAGCTTTTCTAATGTAACTTTACAGATTAATGAGAAAAAACTAGAGACACAGGGACTTTGATTCTTCAATATTGTCTCAAACATCAGAAGACTGCTTTTCTTTTGTATTTTCTTTTGTGACAATGGATTTAAGATGAAGAACTAAGAGACTGAGCTGATTAAATAATGTAAAATTGGAGCTCCTCACCAAAAAAGAAAAACTAACTTTTGACCTTATATGTCTTTTTATCTCTAGTTTGTATAGTTTCACTTGCCAAGTACATTACATATTTTTTCAGTAGTTAACAATAACAAAAATGTAATCACCCTTGGGAACGGGTACTGTCCAATATATTTTAGTTTCTTTTTATTTAAAACACTGTGAATTAACAGATTTCAAAAGTTGATTTTGAGTTTCCTAGATTTTATCCCTGACAGGAAACATTGCTTCCCCTAGCTGTCATTTATTTTAAGAGCAGATAATTTTATTTTATTCTCCTACAGTGAGAAAAATCTCTGTATTTCATCTATTTAGTTTTATTCCCAAAGTAAAACTTTTAAAGCTTTCAGGCTGTATGAGTACAGCCTGCAGCTTCAGGCTCTGTTGGTTGTTACATTTCTGAAATACATAGTTACAAAGCATAAACAATTATTAAAAAGGAGGGAAGATGGGACTATTTCCTATGACTGTAAGATCTGACACTGAGTTTTCTGTACTTGAATATGGACACTTGAAAGAGGGTGAGTTAAGATCACTGAAAATAATGTCCCTGCTTTGAGTCATCTAAAAAAATCTTAAATCACAACAAACAGGGCCAAACTAATGCAGTTGCTGAGCATTACATGCTTAAATATATATCTCTATATATGTAATATGTTAAACATCTAAAAATATTCTTTAACCTTAGTTAACAAAGTCATACTGTTAACTTATTCCTCAACAGAATTTTGGAATTTCAATCAATACAAAGATATGCTGTCAAAGGAAGCTGCACAAGGTAAAATTAGTGTTTTTTAAAAAAGCTATGTAAAGTGATTTGGGGGATGCTAACCAAGACAGATGAAACTATAAAATGCTGAAAAAATATGCATCTCATAATTTTAACTTTGAGAAAGGCTCTATAGCCATACACATGTCCCTTTTAAAAAAGAGCAAACTCACTGTTAAGGCATAATTCTATTTTTTATTCTTTTAATATATGCTTTTGTCTAGGTACAGTTCACATTTAAAATTTTATTCTGAAAGGCTGTCTTTATATCACTGAAGAGTTTATATTCTATGCTTTATATAGTAAAATATACTTCATATTATAAAATCCAGTTTCTAGGATGCAAACTTAACTTATAATATAAATATGAACACAAAAATAAATAACAAAAGTCTGATTTTTTCTATTTATCAAATATATTTGACATCCTAAAATAACACTGAGATTTAGTAGTCTTTACCTACCAGCATGGATCAGGTTGGTGTTGTTAACACCTGGCCCCAACTTTCCAAGTTGGACAAATAGTTTAAAATATTCCTCTCTTAGGGCTGGTGAGCTGGCTTCTAATGGCTAAGTATATCCTATGTGCCCACTGATGGTCCCTGTCACAGACCACACGGGGAAGAAGGTTCCTTGGTGGTGCTAACATGGGGTGGGGAAGACAGTGGAGTAATGACACGACTCTAATAAGGTGGGATAAGTTGAAGATGGATACTTAACACCTGTTGGGAGGGGGGACCCAAACAACTGAGCTATGAAAGGAAAACAGACTTCTGAAGTAGTATCCTGAAGGAAATAATAATTACTCTAATTATGAATTCTGTGTTGGCAAAAAGAGGCAATAAAACTTGGCATGGCAGGAAGTTTGGCACACATGTTCCCACGGAAAGATGCTGGCTTGCTAAAGGAATTACTGGCAAACAAGAAACAGAGAAGCAGTCCAATGAGAAAGTCCTGTCCCTCTAAATTGGCAACAATTATACAGGTACTTAACTAGGAACAGAAACATCAGACTAGAGGAATATCAGGATAGTCTTCCAACTCCAGTTTCCGTACAAATTCTGGAAGAACTTTTAGAAAGTAGGGGGCAAAAGTGAAATGAATATCTATAGATTAATTTAAACATTCAATTTGGATTTTTTTAAACCATGAATGCACCAAGTGGTAACTTGCATTTAAATGAAAAACTTATTCATTTTCATCTACCTGGGAAATGGCTAAGTTAAGCCTTGCTATTTACATTTAGGTTTAAAGTAATTAGGGACGCTTCCATATGAGAAATTCCATAAGAAGGAGGTAGGTGGGAAAGAGAGACAGCTGGTGCTCTCCATCTCTAGGTAAGGCTGAAAACATAGACAAACGTATCAATCGTTGAGTCCTAAGCCTAGTCTTCAACAAAGCAAGAAGGTCCAAACTCAGGCTTCTCACCACTTCTTTCAGAAGGAGAGGACTGTAAGACAGTTAGCATTGGACGGTGCTATTATAACACTGTAGCGAACAGGCAGTTCCGTTGTTCCCAGTTATATAAGGCAAATCTAGTTACTTTGCTAAGGATAGCAAACCAAACCCATGGGCAAACATTATAGATGGTAATAGATTTTAGGTGTTACATAAAAATATACTGCCTCAAGCAGAACACACATTTATAAGACATAATGATACAAATCTGGGTGGGTGTTAAAATGCACGATATAAAACAGTGTTATCTCAATAAATACATTATCTCATAAAGGTTCTCCTTTCTGTGGAACATCTGTGAGAGGGGACTTGGCACAGGGCACTGTGGTGTCACTGCAGCTCTGGGCTAGAGTGGTGTTTTGAGAATTCTGCTCTACAGGTAACATGCTCCTGATTACACAAATTTAGTCAGAAACAATATTCTTAGAGCTTAGAAAGAATCTTTTCCTATAGTATCAATTAAATGATATAATTCCCACAGCTTGGGAAGGGT